TGGTGTTCTATAGTCACTATCAATTATGTGAGACAAACTAGGTTATAAAAGGGTATTTGTGAAAAAAAAAGTAATTTCCCACAAACCTGCTCTTCACATCTGTATTAATCAAGTTATAGAGGTCAACGTATTTTTTTCTTTAAATTACTGTATATTTTTTTATTTCATATGCAAAACTATTTTTGTTTCAATGCATTCATTTTCTGGAGAAAGCAGACCTACCGTCACACGTTTTTCACTTGAACATGATGCTGTTCATCTTGTCACCACTGGCTGGTGCTGCTCAGCCGACCATTCCGCATTGGTTTAAGTATTGTTTTCCTTGGAAATGCAAAGTGGGCGTGTCTTGTCTGCTTTGAAATATTCTAGTCACCCAGCAGTTTACTGTACACAAGAGAAAGTCCTTGCACAGGTACGTTCAAAATAGAACCTTTAAATCTTTCGATAGAAGACGAATTTTATTGATAGAGTTTCTATAAAAAGTCTACATGCCCCCAATTTGGGGCATGATTTATTCAACATATATTTTCAGTGTAGTTCAATATTTACTTGCGATCTGATTAGAAAGACTTTCCTTTAATGCTTTTCCTTTTTTCGTTTCTATGTAAAGTTTTTTGCTAGTTTCCTAAAATGTTGGCAGCAAAAGCCTGGATCCAAGGATGCATCCTGCTGGTGTTACTGACATTATGTGGACAAACTGCTGACTGCCAAAGTCAATACAGAGGTAAGCTGAATAAGAACTTGTACAGCCGGTTTGTCATGAATACATAAACATAACAAGTGTTCACCTGTGCTGTAGTATAAATGACTTAATTTGAAGAAGATTTGTTTCTAATATATTTCATCGTGTTTATTTAAATATATTTTTAATCAACACATATGAACAACTAACCTAGTGTTGGACTTTGCCTTGTTCAGACAACATATCTGTTTTTGGAGTCGGGTTTTTTTTTCAGTGAACATCTACAACAACTTTAATTTAAGTGGTCACCAGCATATAAAAGCTGCGAGTATGAGACTACAGAATCACTAGTGTCAGTGAACCTACCTGAAAATTCACCTGCTTCAGCTGTATCGGAACCTTTTCTCACTTTACCCTAAAACATGGTTTTAAAAAGTCATGTTAGTCATGCACACTCCTTCAAATAATTCAAATGTTATCATTAATTTTCCACAGACTCTGCAAATCATGAAGAACTGAGAATCATCCTGGTTGGTAAAACAGGATCAGGAAAGAGTGCGTCTGGAAACACCATTCTGGGGGATTCAACTGCTTTCAAAGAGGGCATGTCACCTGAGTCTGTTACTGACGGCTGTCTCAGAAAAGAGGTAGAAAAAGGTGGAAGAAAATTTGTTGTGATTGACACTCCAGGGCTGTTTGACACAAGCAAAACACAAGATGAAGTGAAAGTAAAAATTGAAGAGTGCATTGAACAGTCAGTTCCTGGACCGCATGCTTTCCTTTTAGTCATCAGCCTGAAGTCAAGGTTCACACAAGAGGAACAGGATGCTGTCACATGGATTGAAGAAAACTTTGGTTCAGATGCTTCCCTATACACCATAGTTCTGTTTACACATGGTGACCTGCTGCAGGATAAATCAGTGGAAGACTATGTAAAAGAAAGTAAACATCTACAAAGACTGATAAACCAGTGTGGAGGAAGGTACTATTCACTCATCAATAATCAGAAAGAAAGCAGAAAACAGGTCAAAAATCTTCTAGATAAAATAGAGGAAATGGTGGAATTGAATGGAGGAAGTCACTACACCAATGAGATGTATGACACAGCCCAGAAGAGGCTTGAAGAAAAAAGCAAAAAGAGTAGGAGAGAGGAAGAGCAAAGAAAAAGGGAAGAAGAGGAGAGGATCAAATTAAACGAGTGGTGTAAAATGCTTGGTATCGCTTCCGTGGGATTATTGGGTGCAGGAGCATACTTTTCATCATATGCTCTCATGGGAATAGGGGGAGCACTTGGATATTCTCAGTTAAATTGCACAATGGGAATGTTTACTTAAGTGTGGGAGATAGGACCACTAAACCTACACCACTCCTCCAGCAAAGAAAAAAATAAGTCAGGCATCCAGTGATGGTTGTACTTTTTTGTTATATAATAGTGTGGTGCGATTTCTGACCAATCACTTGGCAGGGTTTTCTGTTACATAAAACTGACTACTTAAAAAAACAAATACTTTGTAGTCTGTTCATATAGCATATTTATTTTACTCTACTGAGTCATTTATATGATCCTCAGTATGACTCAACTTCTATCATCCTCTGTCATATAGACAGAGGAACTTGGAAATTTAAAAAAAGACCCAGAAGTGAGTTTAGAAATAGTTGAACTACTACCTTTTTAATTTCAAAATAAAATGAAAATGTGCATGCTTTCTCTGTTAGGGGCAGGGGTTTGTTTATTCAAAGGTTTCTCAGTGTATAATTTTGCAACAATAAAATAAATGTTTAAATTATAATGGCTGGTTTTCATTTTCATACTTAGCCTCTTCAGTAATTCATTCCTCATTGGTTTAAGTAGTGTTTTTCAGTGAAATTAATGTGTCGTGAAAGAAGCTGCTGACCTAACAGCTACTGCACACCCGAGGAATCAGTTGGACGGGTACTTTCAAAATAAAACATTTAAATATTTTGATAGATGAACGATTCCTGCACTGCAATGGAATTCAACAGTTGATTCAAAACTGGTGAAGCTACAGCTGATACAAACCTATCACCTTCCTGCTGCTGCTGCTTCATATTAAAAGCTTCACAGCGCCAAACAAGCTGGAGGCTTTTTTGTGAAGTGCGGACAGAACTCGTTAGGAACTTTTGCAAACGTGGTGGAAATTAACAGAGGTATGTGGCAACCTGCCGAAACACTTGTTTTATAACGTCTCTACACCATTGAGTTAAAAGTGCCTGGTGTTATGTTCGTAAGGCTCCTGGCTGTGTTGCACAGCTCTTAGAAATAGATGTACGTCGTCTTTAGTGGTAACACCATTAACCTTGGCGTAGCATTTAGTCCGGATCACTTAGCTCTACTTAGTTCATCAGCTTGTGTGCCCTGCGCACAATCTCCATTAGGGGAGGAACAAGGTGTTTAATGTTTTGTCAACTGATAGCAGTAATAGTATTTGTAGAATATCAATTGAATAACAGTTCAGACTGCCAGCTTTGTACATTGGGCGATTGGTGCACGCGCATTTAAAGTTCTGTAAGTGAGCGAAGGGGGCGTTACTTGTTTTTTTCAAACATTTATCCGATCCGTGAAGCTCACCTTAATAAATTTTGCGTAAATAGTCACTATTAATTTAGGTTCGGAGGGAAGCATTTGTTGAATAATTTTACGTATTGTGAAATTGCTTCATATTTGTGTATGTAGATAAAATAGAGGAAATGGTGGAATTGAATGGAGGAAGTCACTACACCAATGAGATGTATGAGACAGCCCAGAAGAGGCTTGAAGAAGAAAGGGAAACGAGGAGGAGGGAGGAAGAGCAAAGAAAAAGGGAAGAAGAGGAGAGGATCAAATTAAAAGAGTGGTGTAAAATGATATTATATACATCTGCAGCACTTTTGGGTGCAGGGCTGTTTTATACCTCACCTTTTCTCATGGCAGTAGCTTCAGGACTTGGCTTTAATTGCATAATAAGTATGCTTACTTGGGCCTTACACCTTTACAAAACAAAAAGGCCAATATATAATGGCTAACACACTGGGCATCAAATCTTTGTCATTTGGAATTAGGTGGTTTTAAATTGCGTTTCAATTCACTTTATATTTACTTTATGTTGCATTAATTTCTAATTTAATGTGACTGTTTTTTAATAGAGTATTTTTTGTCAAATCACAATTTAAGAATATGTGAAACAGATTTGTAGATATATTAATATTTTAAATTCATCGCACTGTAACAATGTACCACAGTAGAACCATCCTCATTTAGTTCAGTTCAAATTTATGTATATAGTGCAAATTCAAAATCACATTTTCCTCCAGGTGGTGTATATTCTAAGACAGTGTTTCCCAACCATTTGGAGCCACTGCACATATTTCACATTAGAAAAATCACACGGCACACCACCAAACAAATATGCAATTTTTCTCTGCACATCAGGCATAGTGAAATTGGCTTGATTTGAAAAAATAAGCTTTTATTTGTATATTTTGAAATAGGAATAGATATTAAATAATATTATTGTATATTATCTTACATTAAATCTGAAACATAATGCTACAAAATGTCTTTAGCTTTACTGTACATTTTTGCTGTGTGAAACAAACAGTGGTGGTTGGGAGTTGGAGTAAAGAGGATAACAGTGGAGGAATTATATCCTTGAACTTAATTATAGCACTTTCAGAAAGACCTCTAATGTCTCCGCCACTCATTTGTACTAGTTAGGGCACACTGAGCTACTTTTTATTAAGATGATTCATAAGCTTACACTCCTTGTAAGTGATGATATCTATTTAATTCTAGATTATATTTGGTTGGTTTTTTAAGTGTATTAGTTCAACAGTAGAGTTGCAGACTTTCTGAATTATTCTGTAGCACACCATTCAGTGGCAAAGATGAAGTGACCGTAAACACTGAGGAGTGTATTGAGCAATCAGTTCTTGGACATCACACTTTCCTTTTAGTGATCAGTCTGAACTGAGGTTCAGACAAGAGTAGCAGGACACTGTGAAGCGGATTCAGGATACTGTTGTTGCAGATGCTTCCACATAAACCATAGTCCTGCTTACAGATGCTGTTTTGCTTGAGGGTAAATCCTTTGATGGTTATGTGAAAGAGAACAAAAATTTAAAGAAACTAATATGTGACTCAGAGAAGATATTCTCTCTTTAATGACCCGAGTTAGAATCGATTCCAAGTCAGGGAAATTCTAGGTTAAACAGAGAACATAGTAATATTCAATGGATGGTATTACTACATCAATAAGATAGGAAACCTAGAGTAAATGTGCGGGGGGAAGCAAAGACTAGAGCGAAGACTTGCCAGGGACCTTTTGGTGTAGAAGCATGTTGCCCCTCATATGTTCTGGTGACATTAGTTGGAGCACTTGGACACATTCAATTAAATGGCACAATGGACCTTTTTCCTTAGGTGTGAGTTCTATGATGGAAAAAAGTGAAAATAATGGCTAAGAATGTGGCGAATAATAACTTTCAATAACATGTACTTTTAAAATGTTTGTGCATTCCATTCATCCGCATGAAAGGAATTTTTGAATACACTTGTTTTCCATTCTTATTTACCTATTGACTGTTTGTTTATAGTTTCACTTTTTTTTGTCAATTAAAATGGGAAACAAACAAGAGACTTTGCTTATGGGTGATCGTGGCTCAAGAGTTGGCAGTTCATCTTATAATCGGAAGGTTGCCGGTTCGAGCCCTGGCTCGCACAGTGTCGGTCGTTGTGTCCTTGGGCAAGACACTTCACCTACTGCCTACTGGTGATGGCCAGAGGGGCCGATGGCACGATATGGCAGTCTCGCTTCTGTCAGTCTACCCCAGGTAGCTGTGGCTACAACTGTAGCTGCCTCCACCAATGTGTGAATGAATAGTGGAATTGTAAAGTGCTTTGAGGGTCTCAAAAAGCGCTATATAAATGCAATCTGTCATTATTATTACTTCAAATACCAAACATCTACCAAAGTAAAACCATTTTCATCTGTACTGACCTACAACTCTAGGCTCAGACAGATCCTTTTCTTTTATTTTAAATTTCTTTACATTTTTTAAAAAAAAGAATAAGATGAACTTGAGCATGAGGGGGTCAAGAATATCTCTCCTTTAAAAATAGAGCAAAGTCATTATAGAGTTATTGTAAAATATATACATTTTATATAAATAATAAAATATTCTTATGTGATTAAATGAGAAACCTTAATATTTTTGTTGGTTTGCTGTGAAAACTTCTCAGCAATGTCCAAACACAAACCTGTTAACCATATTTAGAGGGCTGTGGACAGCCTACACAGACAGTTTTCACATTTCAAACTGAAGACAATACAAGGAAATGGGAAGCCCCCGGTGCCTAGGCTTCCAGAAGTTTCCCACAACGTTAATGTGAAATGTGTCGAGACACAGTCTACGTTTGTCTTGTCTAAGTTCAGAACTCAGGTCTGAAAAAACTGACTTGGCCACCTGGGACATATAAAGCAAGATCTGAAGTAATGGCTGAAGGTAAGATCATCTCTCTGAACTAGTTTAAAAATGCACTAATTATTTAATTACTCTAGGATGTGATATTGATACACTGAAAAGGGCAAAAGAGGCAAAGTCAAAAAGATACAGACCTTCTTAAAGATGTCAGTGACTAATCTTACCTTTTTTTCTCTCAATGGTGTAACTTGTGACAGAAATACAACTCAGAGAAAAGAAGCAGAAAACTCTACCTCGGTCTGATGGGTGTGGTCTGAAAAACTTTGATGGTATGCTCCTTCATTTTCTCTCTAGTCACTCGACTCTACTAGTAGCTGTTCTACTCTAATTTCAGTAATTATGTATCAGAATCAGAATACTTTACTAATCCCAGGGGAAATTATTTGGTCACAGATCACAGGAGCTCCAAGACAGTAAGAACAGTAACTAACAACAATATATAAATGTTGTTTTATTTACTATTTTTTTTAAATAACAACAAATGAATGAATAGTATATTTCAAGGAAAATATGCTAAAGGATTTTTTTCTCCAGTCCAGAGATTAAATTAAAAAACAACAAAAAAAAAAAAAACACACTAACTTAAGACTAACAAGGCAGAAAAGAAAGGATTCATTTTTTTTTTGTAAATGCCAGTAATTCTGTGTCTGTTGTTTTTACCACAGGTCTGGATTTGCCTGGAGGTTTGAGGATAGTCTTAGTGGGAAAGACTGGATCAGGGAAGAGTGCAACAGGAAACACTATCCTTGGAAGAATTGCCTTCAAAGAGGATCCCAGCCCTGTGTCTGTGACCAAACACTGTGAGATGCATAGTGGGGAAGTGGATGGGACCTTGGTGCAGGTTATTGACACTCCGGGTCTGTTTGATACAGGCATCTCAGAGGAAGAATTAAAAGTCAGAATAGAGGAGTGTGTCAAAATGTCAGTTCCTGGCCCTCATGCTTTCCTACTGGTAATCCGGCTTGGAGTAAGGTTCACGGAAGAGGAAAGAAATGCTGTTAAGTGGATCCAAGATAACTTTGGAGACGATGCTTCCATGTACACAATCATGCTGTTTACGTGTAAAGATCAAGCTAAAGCTGACAATGCTCTGAAGGAGTGCAAGGAGCTACGGAGACTCTCGATCACATTTGGACGCAGATATCATGCTTTCAACAACACTGACATGGATGACCGCGTGCAGGTAAAAGAGCTGATCAACATGATCAAGGAAATGGTACACGATAACGGCGGTAAGCACTACACAAATGAAATGTATGAGAAAGCCCAGAGGAAGCTGAGAGAGGAGGAGGAGCGGAGGAAGCAAGAGGAGGAACAGAAGAAAGAGGAGGAAAGGAAAATATGGGATGCAGAGAGACAGAAGCAGGAGGAAAAGAAAATCAGGAAGAAAAAGGTTCAAAGAAAGAATATACGCGTGGCCGCAGCTTCTGCTGTTGTCTTGGTGTTTGCTGGGGTGGTCATTGCAGTGGGAGCTAACACCACAGTAGCCCTGGCTCTAGGCGCCCCTGCACTTGTCCTGGGAATCTTATGCGGTTTATCTGCCATTTTCATTTGGAAAGGCATAAAATGCAAGGCTAAAGCAAACGTGCCTGTATAACAAGATGGAGGGTAGTGGCAAGGCTATTGTTCGGCTACAGTTTGTGTCACTGAATAAAAAACAGAAATATTCCATATACAGTATTAGTATCCCACACATTATGGTTTGGAACTATGCGTTAGTGACTTGTTTAGGTTCTGTTTCAAAACGAGTATGTGAATTTAAAGCTAATAGTAAACAAATGGTATGAAATGTGCTTGTTTGTCTTTTTTATCGTTTACATCTTATATATGAATGTGAGTATCACTTCTATTGGCTCTTTAGTAGGATTCAAAATAATTAATATTAAAACCCAAATGTAAAAAGATTTTTCACCTATAGATTATACCTTGGTAACTTATAACTGTTAAAATGCGCAGACACTGACACACTGCTTCCTTTACTTTTTATTAGTAGCATTCTGAGCTCATTTCCCCAAAGGAAATGAGAAACAATGGTAGACGTCCATTGACCCATCACGTCTGCGGAAACAGAGCAAGTCCTCATTGTCCTGCCACTACAACAATGTCAGTGCATACCATCAGTACAAACATGACCAGCACAGATGTTAAAATGAATGGTAGTTAGTTTCTGTCAGCCACAAAAGGATCAAAGTAAGGACACTGCTACTTGTTCTGCAATTAAGAACAAAACACACTGAAGCTGAACATTATTTATTTAAAATTACAAATGAAAGGAGGCTCAGTATCAAATAAAGGGTGTG